TGGCGCTGTTTATATATGTATTTATATATTTTTTCTTTTTTTTCAGCTCAGTTTATTGCCGCAGAAATCACACTTGTTCACATTAATCCTTGGCCAACTGTCGCCTTAACATTCACTTTTTTTATGGACATTGATTTGGCTTGACTTGGCTAAGCACATAAAAATCAAGCACAAAAAAAATAATTCAATTTTAGACACACTTTCGAAATGGGCCAACATCCACTCCAGCCACACTTTACTTTAATACAAACAACAACAACAGCATCAAACAAGACAATTGCAACTCTTGTTTTTATGGCTAATACTGTGCAGACACGCGCTTTTCATTTTGGCGCTTTTCTTGGCTCTGATAACGTCGTTAAATAGCGCCGCAGAAAGCGAAAATGAAATCGAAACCAAAAATGAAAATCAAATCCAAAGCAAAATGAAATTCATGTGCAGCAACTGCAACTTAGCCGACTTTTATGGCTGCTTAAGTGCAATTAAGGCTATAAACTGATTTGATTTTGATTGATGCGGCGCAGCAAAGGGTGTGCAATAAGACCAACACAAAGACACAGACATAGACCAAGACACGAACACAAAGCAAATGGAAAAGAGAGTGTGACAAAGTCACTAGACTATATACAACTGCGATTCAGTTTGTAATTTGCTGATTCAAGGCATTGAAAGTATTTGCTAAGATTTTCATTTTCATGGATGGAAAAGGGCGTGTGCAATGCCCAATGCAGTCACGTGTGTGTGAGTGTGTGTGTGTGCCAGGTAGATAGACATGTCAGAGGTGGAAATGCACGAGACTTGATGCGTTCGTCTGCGTTCCTCTCTCTTTCTCTTTCTCACACACACACACTCTCTATAAGCATGTGCAACAGAAACAAAAAAAATATATATATACATATATATCTTTAGTTTAGGCCGTTCGTCAGTTGTTGACGCTTGTTGCAGCCATTAAGGCGTGACGCCGTAAATTGCCAAAGTGTAAACTACAATAGAAACAAGCACAGCGAGTGCTTAAAAACAATAACTCATACTAAATAGTAAATACTTTGTACGCGCCACAACTAAACGCGAAAGCGAAATTTATTACCAAAAAAAAAAAAACAACTAAAATATATATCTCTCGATTTTATAACAATTCGTCTTCGCGCTCAACACAAATGTTTCGCTGCGTTTGGGGCAAGACTTTCACATACTTTTTTCTATAGCCCGGTGGAATTTTGTGTAGATTTTTATATGACCACGCCGGAACCGATTGTGTGACGACGGATGCGTTTCGGATGCTAAACAATACGCAGCAAAAATCCGCAAAACGGCAGAGCGAAACAGTTAAGACAAACGCGAACCGCACACGTTTGCAGCTAGCTTCGAACTAAAAATCAACGCAGACTCAATCCAAAAGGCGGCTAACAAACAGGTTTGACGCAACCAAAGACGAGAGAGAGAGAGAGAGAGAGAGAGAGAGAGCGAGCAAGCAAGCGACAGAGAGAGAGAGAGAGAGAGAAAACAGCAACAACAATGAGCGTAGCAAAACATAACAAACAAAACATTGACCAAGTGAGTTCGCTCAATAGAGAAGCATCCGAAACTATTTGATAGTGCGTGGGCGATGGGGCCAACCAATGCTGCCAGCTAGTTGAAAAGACTAAAAAGGTTAACAGAGCGCATTACAAATATATAATAAATATAAATAATATACGCTTAAATTAGTATCTCCCTCAATTAATTACTCTTATTACTTTTCATTTACTTTACCTAAACATTTCTTATTCACAAAATCTGGCAGCTCTGCATAAAAAAGATGCCACTGCACTTGCAGCACGTTCGCTTGCAACATGCTCGCAGCGAGCCGATAAGAACTTGGCCAATACTAAAATGCTGCAGCACTAAGGGAATTTTCATATATATAGATATATATTTATTTAACTGTCAAGCTTTTTATACTTTTTACACTGCAAAGTTAACGTTTTGGCTGCCAAGATGTCGCGCTGACACGTTGCCAGCAAACGGCAAAACGCGCTGCCAAAAACTGTAAAACGTGGGCCAATTACCAACAGCCAAGAGCTGCCAATTAGCATTGCAGTTAGACTACCAAAAAGTTTATCAAGCAGTTACCAGCTACCTTAGGCCAAATTAATGGAGCTTAATAGATACGAGCTCTATAATTTATGCCTCTGCATTTTCTCTGAGAAGTGACAATCGCAGCGAATTCAAAATGGAAGATAATAGAGATATTATGTATGCGGCACATATGTCATTGCTCATCAGGCAGATGAAACGGGGCTTAAGTTCCGGATGAGTTTAAAATGAAGTTATCCTAGAGAATTCAGGATAATGCTATAAGGAATGTTTAGGGTAAAAGAATTGATCGTAAAGCAAGTAATGCTTAAGAATAAAAAGAATAATAATGATAAGGGAAATGAAAGCAACAATATATTATATATTATTGTACTACTACATTATCCTTATCATTAGCAGTATTATAAAAAGAATAAGAATTATCGTGCTAATAATTTTTCCAATAAAGAAGAATTATCATAGCTGTGGTAATGATTATAATCGTGATAGTAATTCTTATGATAAAGACAATGAAATCGACTAAGTGACTTTAATTAATGGACTATACTAAATATACATATATCAGTAAATCATTGGCAGTGTCAGCATCATTGCCTTATGCTTGTCATTATCATTACTATTGCCATATTTACATAATGCATTCATTATGACCAATAATAATGAGTATCAAAGCAAATATTTTATATATAGTAAGAAGAATGATGACGATAATGATAATGATAATGATAATGATCAAAATATTGGAATCTACTATGATGTTAATATAATTGTCAAATGGCAATGTTGCATGTCATTAACATTCTTCATTGTTGTACAAGGTACACGAATATAATGATAAAGGAACATCTAACGATTCATAGTAGGCAATGAAATAAAATTCAGCTGAAGATTTGGCGTACTCTGTAACAGTATACAAATATTGTCATTCAAATGTTTTCTTTGCAGCAAGAAACATTTTAAAAAAATCTAAATTAAATTTTTATTTTGTAAGTTGTAACCAAAGACCAATGTGGGCATTTAAAACAGTAATCCCATTTGAGACGGCTGTCAAGCTGCATCCACAATGCCGAAAATGGCCTACAGTGTGCTGGTTATTCTTGAAAATCTATGGAATGTTTAAGTACGCGATTTTGGATCAAAATCGTTTCTTTTGGATTGAGCTAGGCTGTATAATTTCATGCCTTTTGTTTATCAAATGGTGGCTCTGGCTAAGGAACACTAAAGTAAGTTAATGCTGAGTATCCGAGTTGAGTTATGATTAACCACTTGCTGCGGCAATAGCAGAGACTCGAACAGGCAGTAATAGACGAAAGGAAGCTCAATCAGCTACATTTTGAGGAGAGTTTGGGTGAGCTTCTATTGGCTGCAAAACTGAATGCTGACAAACAGGAGGAGGAGCAATCAGATAATTTATCGATGATAGACACTGCAAGGGATAGTAACTCGGACATGTTAGTGGATACATCCACTCCACGCACCGAGACCGGCAATGAGTCTCAGGCAAGTTCGTCATCAAATTGTCTATGCCCTACCACCAGGTACATCCAAACCAACAAGAAGAAGTCAGCCCCTATTAAGCGCAAGCATCCAGTGCCCGAAACAATGGCTGTACCTAAAAAGTCCCCCAAGTGGAGACTTTAGACTTTGGCCTTTTTGTAGTTTTAGTCTCAGGGAGGGGAGCCAACAGAGTTCAATATTTTTTATATGTTCATAAGTTTTTTAAAATTTCCAGGTTAATATAGTTAAATTGAAGTGACAGAGTAAAAAAAATAAATAAAAAAGAAATTGAGCTACAGCACTTTCCCCCGTTTATTCTTAAATGCAAGTTCAACGTCATTTAAATATATTTCTCTGATGAATGCAATGTTCAAGTTTTTCTTCCCAGACAATGCAAAAAACAAAGACATTAGCATGACAAATTAACGCTGGGAATAATCAGATGCAATGGCTGGAAAGTTAAGAGCTAGCCACACAATTTACGAGGCACTTGCATGAAGGTTAAACCTTAACTGATTGCACCGGCTGCATCTTAATTAGATGAAGTTTTCTCACAGCTAATTAGGATTAGAGAGTGCAAAGAAAACTGAAACTGCAGTTAGTTCCTGGCCAGCTTTTGGGTCAATTGTGAGTTGACAAAAATAAAAGAAATATATATGTGCAAGCATATATATAATGCGGCCTAAATTCTGTTGAACAGAAGAAAACTAAGAGTTGACAGAATTGCCGCAAGCCAAAACTCGTTTTCGTAACTCCTCTCTCTCTCTCTCTCTCCCTCTCTCTGTGTCCGTTTCTCTCTTGTGCGCATTCCAATGGCATGACAACCCCTTCAACAATAATGCAAAAAGTCCGCAAAACTTGTAACCAAGTCAAGCCGAACCGAAGAAGCGGCTCGAAGCTCGAGGGTCTAGTCTCGACGCTGCTGCAGCTACCTTCAACCTTTTCACTTGCAGCTCACAAGGCGAAACTCTCAAGCAGACTTGACGCAAGGGCCGTCAGCAGCAGAGAGAGAAACGCTTCCCAACTTCGTTGACAAGGCAAAAAAATAAAAATAAACTCTAAGAGAAACAGGAAATGAACAAGTGATAAACATAGCTGGCCATAAGGAAATGCCAGCCTAGCCAGAACTCAGAGAAAATCTTACACACATTTTATACGACTTTTCTAATCTGCAGCAATTAATCGGTCGAGTTTATGCGATGCCTTGAACCAGACTATTAAGACCAGAAAAATAGCAAAACAAAAGCATTAATTTTGTGTGCCAAAACGAAAAACATTTATTGAAATATTCAATATACAAAACAATTGAAATATGAAAATTCGATAAGCTAAACGAATTTTGCTTTTACTTTAGTTTGAGTGGAATATGGACAGGGATCATAAAATTTCTGTTATATACAAACAATTAAAATAATATAAGAATATTTCTTAATACAAATGCAAAGCTCATATATACAGTGCCTTATTCTATAATCAATTTATGAACCATAACCAAATGGGAACAACAAATGAAATGAAAATGCGTTAGGATCGTATGAAATTCTACGTGAAAACCAAAGGCAACCCAAAAACTCATAAATATATATGAGAAATAAATAAATGTCGCTTACTTTCTCATGGAGCCCCAACGACGCTGGGGCAAACTATCGGGATTGCTGTAAAGAATATATGAAATGAGGTTTATTAAGCGTCTTAATTGAAAGGGGTATGAAAGGCCATTTCAAATATGTATTTCTATTTCTACTTCATATTTCTAATGCCCATAAACTAAGCTATTAACTTTATATAAAATAATCTATAGCTTAAAAATAAATGCATGGTAAGAATAACCATGAGGCTAGTGTAATCTATTCATGTAATGCTCTAAATAGTCAGTGTATTAACATCAAGGAATTAATTCTATAAATAATTCTACATTTGTGGCTTAATTCAACCCATATTTAGATATAATCACATAATATTGGTATTTATCTTGAACTATTAATATATGGAATAATTTCTGACCACATAAAAACTTTATATTAATATATAATATTTATCTTGATGAACTGAGTTCTGTATGCGCACTAAGAAGAGAAGTTTTTAGATAAATTTACTTGTCTACCAAAAGCAGAACAAGTTTATTTATTAGTTAATATTTTATACAGCTTCTAATTCGTTGTTACGAACCAAGTGAAGCTTAAGTTATGTAAGCCTAATTAGAGAAACCTTTGAAATTATATAAAAATCATTTTGACTTCGACTAGAAGTAGCCTCCTAATATATTTTTTTATAATAATAGATAATTCTACATAACTATCCAAATGCTAATTAATTTAATAATGCTAATTAATTTAATAATATTATTTATGCAACACATAATATTGTATGGACAACTTTAAATAGAACTGAAGAAAATCCCCACCGATTTTCTTAAATTTTGAAACATTATTTAATTTAATGTCTAACTCATTTAATGTCTAACAGACAAATCTTTTCCCTAAAGATATATAAATTGAGACCCTATAAAATTCTACCTAACATATGGAGAGACTATTTATAACGTCTCATTAAAACCTATGCCAAAAGACAGCTAGCAAATCAATCACGCGCTTTTAAGGAAAAAATCTCTAGTTGAATAGAAGACAGCCCGCATACTGTATAATTTAAGAGAGCATCGATTGCTCTTAATGCAGGTGAATCTGGAGTTCACCACAACACACCTCGCTATTCCTCTCTCTTTCACACTGACATAGCGCTCTCTTTGTGGTGTGTTGAACATAAACGGAAACAAAGAGCGCTCTCTGTTCGCGCACCGACTGACTACAAGCCTCGACTGCGATTTCGACTGGATCGGAACGCATGAATCACGGCCCAAAACGCGAGACATAGTAAAACTGGTTTTCCAGCTCGTATATATACGAACGGAGATACATACAGATGTGCATACACAACAGAAAAGGTTAAATATTCAAATAGACTTACAGAAAGAAAAAAACAAAAACAAAAATAATAAAAAGAAATACAGAAATTAAATCAAGGCAGACGGACTCTGGTTGACGATCGCTAAGCAGATGCGGCTTAGAGTATTACTTGGAGTTGGCAAACTGGTCAGTTTATGGGCATTACGTCAAGAGGCGCGACGATTATGCGACTGTGTGCAAACAACATGACTTGGGACAGCATAATTTTCTACAAGCATTCAAGCCTTCCATAACTAATTGTTGATCGTTGCGATCTTATATGGCAGGCGAGACGCCGACTTGTTATGTGTCTGGTGATGTTACCTTGTAGGTGTGCGTCTCAGGCTGCGTCTGGCCCAGTTGTCGCGGGGCATAATGTTGAGCTCCTCGTCACTGCAACAGAGAAGAGACAACAGACAATAGGTTAATAAAACTCTGTGAGATGAGTATATAAATTACATGCACTCTTACTCCTTGGGCGAGGATGAGACAACGTGAGGCGCCAGATCGAGCTCAATGCCAGCCGTATCATCCAGATTGTTATTGCCGTCATTTGAGTGTCCACTGTGCTCATGCACTGATCCGTTGTTCATGCTGTGATGGTGAGTGTTGTTGCCATTGTTAATGCTGTGGCTGTTGCTGCCGCTGCTGTTGCCATTGTTGTTGCTGCCCGCCGCACGCAGCTGAACACTGTACTCGTTCTCGCCGTAGCCCTCAAAGGATTCACCATCCGACAGGGAGGAGCACTGTGATTTGGCAACGCCAGCTGTGGAAGCATTAAGAAGGCGAGGTAAGGCGGAAATCTTTGACCATAGTCTATGATGCAATTTACCTGTGCTCGAAGGCGGACTGCTGGGTGTTGGGCTGCTGTCGCCGGAAATTGTTTCGGCATACAGAAAATTGTTGGTTGTGGCTTTTATGGCCGCATTGTTATTGGCCAATTGAATGCGTGGCATGGGCGCCATACTGCCAAAGCTGCTCACTGCCTGCAAAGAAATGCAAAATGTTCAAAGTTACTTTAAAATTGTCTAGCAATAAGCAGCGGCATACAGGTCAATAGGACAGCTAATTGAGTTTCGACATGCAACCGAAGAAGCCACAAGAATGCAGCGCACTGCAATTCGAACTCTGTTGGCTGAAAGGCGACAACAACTAGAGAAAGCCAAACAGGGCTTGGCTAAAAGGCTTTCTTTGTGCTCATGTGGGATTGTTTGTCTATAAAAGTAAATTTGCTTTTTATTAGTTGTATAATAAAATATAATAATTTGCCATTAATAGGTAAACAATTATATTTTATTATTCAGCTGAAAAACAAGTTTTTCTCTTCTATATAATATTTTAGGTTACTAATAGGAGTTTCGCCTCGATCCTAGTCCGTCAATATAAATACTAATCAATCTATAATATTATAGCTTATTTTATTTCATATAGAATACATACATATAGAATATTCCACTTACTAATTACATCATAGAATATTAAAATTATTTTTA